CTTCCTCTCTGAAATTCATTTCAGAAAATATATTTAAATCTTAAAAAAAATTAAAAAAATATAGAATATTGAAACATGCACCTAAGTCAATGAAATTTTGTTTTTTTTCTTTTCAATGACAGTGAACATTCATTATTATTTTATATTAGTTTCCGGTGTGGTCAGATATATCATCAATGCTTCTATTTTTTAAAAATATATTTGTATTGATTTCAGAGAGAGAGGGAGAGGGAGAGAGACAGAGAAACCCCCACGATGAGAGAGAATCACGGATCGGCCGCCTCCTGCAGGCCCCCTAGTGGGGATCGAGCCTGTAACCCGGGCCTGTGCCCTTGACTGTGAATCGAACCCGGGACCCTTCAGCCTGCAGGCCGACGCTCTATCCACTGAGCCACACCAGCCAGGGCTCACTATTATTTTATACTAGAGGCCCGGTGCACGAATTCATACACAGGTGGGTGGGGTCCCTTGGCCTGGCTGGCTATCGAGGCCTATCGGGGTGCCAGTCAAATGGGGGTAGGGACTGTGGGAGGTTGACCAGCCGGCTCCCCCGTTCAGAGCTAATATAAAGGGTGTCCCAGAATTCACGCAAGATTTGAATTCTGCGTGAGCATTCACAACAACAAAAAAACCATAAAAGCCTAATTGGACTCGGTTGATTGAATCAAATTCTAATATCTGTGGCCCTTGGATGTCAATCAATCCCTTCAATTCGATCAGCGTCACCAAGGACCCATGACGGCCCAGGAGCAGGGACAGGGAAGACCAATGGAGACCGCGGCTTTGCGTCTGTGCCAGCAAAGCCGGGGAGGCCGTGGACCCGATGGGCTATTCCGTCCATAAACCCTAGACTGTCTCCTTTACGAATCAATACAAAATTTACAATTTTTCATGATAAACCTGTGTTTTCCATCAAAATGACTTCTTGCGTGATTTTTGGGACACTCTTTATATCTCTACTAATAAAAGGGTAATATGCAAATGGCCATGACACCCTCACGCGTAACGACCAATCAGTAGGAGGCTGCGTGCGCAGCAGGAGCGAATGGGCGGGGACTTGTGTCACGCCATCACACTCCATCACCAGGAGGCCTGGGGCCAGGCGGAGGCCTCCATCTGCGTGTCGACGCCTGGGGTTCCCGCAGCTCCGCGTGGAGTGAAGGTGGGACCCCAGGCTCCAGCCTACCTCTTTGGGGTGATCCATCGAGGATCCCCAGATGGGTGTGCGAGGCCCACCTCTTTGGGGTGGTGGGTTGT